CGCGGACGGATGGTCGTGCACCGGCTTTGGAGCGGCCTCCGGTTCGGCTTCTTTCGTCTCGGCGACGGTGAGGGGGCCTGCCGCATTTATCTCCGCTCGCGGGATAGTTAGGACACATTCCCGTGCCTCCTTTTGATCCCCTCGGTGGATCCCCTCTCCATCCGAAGTTGGGAACTTGAGGGAATAGTGAAATATGGAGACGGCGGCCTTCAGCTTGTAGAGGGCCGTCCTTCCCAGAATGGCGTTGTATTCACTCGGGCAGTCCACGATCTTGAAGGTTTCGAGAATTGTCTTCGTGGGCTGCCCCTTCTCTCCAAACTGGATTGGTAAGGTGACTTGGCCGACGGGGGCCGTTGTTTGTCCATTGAAGAATCCGTTCGCGACAGGGCTGTACTTCGCTCTTGTCGATCCCCATCTTCTTGAAAGTATCATAGTAGAGGATGCTCGCGTAGGCCCCGGTGTCGACCATGAAGCGATGGATCTTTATCGCCATGATCGGTGCCGTGATCACCAGGGCGTCGGAGTGAGGGTGGTCGAACAGAAAGGCGTCTTCATCGGTGAAGGAAATTTTATTTGGGGTTGGCTCTGACGCCGGCCTGCTATCGGCGTGCATCACCCTCTGTCCTGCATAATAGGCTTGTCGGGCATAGGCCTTGGTCTGCCTCCTGGAAAGGAGGGATTCACCTCGGTTGGTGTTGACGCGCTGAGTTGGGTAGTCTGCTTGGTCGGATCCTGGGCTCGGGGACCAGTCTCTCTTTCTGCCCCTTGAGGTGCCGGCCTCGTCTTGGTGAGTGGGGCAGAAGGTCATGATCTCGTGGGGGCCACCCTGCTGCGACTTCTTCCTTCGAGGGTTCACGTCGGCATCCTCGTCACTGTCCGGGCCTTCCTCAAAACGGCCTCCCTTCTTTTTCTTTTCGCCGGAGTGGGTGAACCTCTTGAGCTGCGGATCATCGATCAACTTAAGCAGTGCAGTGATCAGATTCCTGCACTGGTCGGTGTTGTGCCCATGTGCCTTGTGGTAGGTGCAGTAGCGGGTCTTGTCTACCTTGTCCTTATCAGTAAACATCGGCTTCGGGTCCGGCAGCATCCCCTTCGCCTTAATCTCCTCATAAATCGCGGCGGCTCCCACTGAAAAGACACTCTGATAGCTTTCTTTCAGCTCTTCAACTCTTTGTCTCCGCTGAGCTCGGACTTCAGCGAATGATTTGCTCGGCTTTCCAGGTTTCTCCTCTTTCGCCTTCGCCTTTGCTGACGCCGGCGTGGTGTCAAACGTCGGGATTGACGAGGACTCCTCCGTCATTATGTAGTTCTGAGCTCGGAGACGAACTCCTGGTAAGTAGTCGGCTTATTCCGGCACAGAGACCATTTAAACAGCGTTTTTGGTCTCAGGCCGCCCTGAGCGGTGATCAGCAGGGCGTCAGGGTGGCACCGCTCCATGTTTTGGACTGGGTCGTTGAACCGAGCGATGTAGTCCTTCAAGCTCTCGTTCTCTCCCTGAACGATGTTGGCGATGGACTCCTTGGGGGTGAGGTTGACCTACGATCCGATGAAGTGTGACCGGAACGCCGACCTGAGCTGCACCTAGGTGGAGATGGAATGGGGGTAGAGAGAGTGATACCACCTCTGCGCCTTCGGCCCCAGTGTCAGAGAGAACATGCGGCAGCGAAGGGCGTCAGAGTCGCCGTGCAGGTCCATCCAAGATGTGTATAGGCCGACGTGGGAATCTGGATCCGAACTCCCGTCGTAGAGGCCCAGCTGCGGCACCTTCATCTTCTTCGGGACGGCTTCCCGTAAGATGTCGGGGGAGAGAGGTGAAGCGTCGTCCGCAACTCGGGGGGTCGGCCGTGCATAAGATTGCGGATAGGGAGGGAGCAATAGCTCACTCCTAGACGGGTGCCGGCCCTCCAGTTCGGTGATTCTGCGCTTTAGGGCCGCGACCTCACCAGTATCGCGCCCTATGGTTTTGCCTCGCTCAATGACCTCCCAGAGGTCGCGGTTGGTCTGGCTCTTGTCGCCCAGGCGCTGGTGAACAGGACGGCGGACGATTTGGAGGCTTTGCTCCTGACGGCTTTCACCCGTCTGTTTGGTGAGTGCCGGTCTGGAGCTTTTGTCGCGGCGGTTTCGGGCCTCAAGGTTGGGTCATTGTGCTGTGGTTTTGGATTTGGCCGGATTCGGCCTCTGTCCCCCAGTCCCTTTTTCGGGGGTATGAAGTAGAGTGTTGTCGGGGTTTTCCGTGGGCGCCACCGTATTTCCCCCGGCTGCCTGGCTGGCGAGCGCCCTTGCGAAGACCCCCTCCAGAGCTTGGAGGACGTCGGGATGCTGCATGGCCTCGGCGAAGGTCGGGACTGGGGGGACAGGGACTATGGGCCCCTCCTGAGCACGGCGAGAAGTCTCTCTGCCGTTGCGCCGGCGAGACTGGGCGCCGGACTGTTGGGTTAACTCATTGCGGCCGGACAAAGGCATTTTGGGTAACTTTCGGAAGTGAAAAGTAGGAAAAAGACGAGTGTGATGTGGAGTCTCACAAGATCGGAAAATTGACACTAAATAACTTATGGGCCCTCCTTCTAGCGCCAAACTGTTGACGGACGTTTCCGGTCAACGGTTAAAAAGAGAAATAATGAAAAGATAATGAGGAAAAGACAAAGGAACACGATTTAATTATGATTTTATTAGATGATCGCGAGGTCGGCCTCTCGTACGAGGTCGGCACTTGCGATATACTTACGAATTCTTGCACAAATTCCTTACAAGTTTAGGGAGAGAGAATGTAGAGAGAGTGAATACAGTTGGGATTTCAACCACCCAAAATAAATGCTCAAGACTTCTATTTATAGGGTTCTTAAATGTGATACTGTTAGGGTACTGTTTGTGGGTCTTGTCGTACAGCTACTCAGCAAGACAGGCCGGCGTTTCTCTGACTGATTGGGAGTGATTTAGGGATCTCCCAATCATTACCTGCAATGCACTTAATGTTGGTATGAGCTGCATTTAATGCGGACATGCTCCGCGGCCGAGCTAGACTTCCTAGACCTGCAGACTAGTCTTGGACGTCCCATCGGCAATCATTGATTGACAAGTGGCCTTATTTAATTGTTTTCGGGATCTTTAACCCCTACGAGGGTCGAGGAGGTAGGGTCCCAAGCCGGGATTTTTACAGTCTGCCCGTCCTCCGATCTTTCAGACCCCATATCCTGAGCCGGTCGGCTCCCTAACGGGAGCTCCCAGGTGCCGACCTCGGGGTATGACGTTGTCCGCCACTCCAGTTGACTTCGACTAATCCTCAGATCGGCACCTGCTAATTGACATGGTAACCGGCCCCACTGGCCAGGCCGACCTCGCCCGGTTTCGATCTCTCGGATCGTTACCTTTATGGGAGCCCGATCTGGATATCAACAACCATGTTAGCTTCAAACACCCCAACCGACATATTAAAGTCGGTCTGATCACCCGGCACATGACCGTGTTCAGCAACGAGGGCACTCGGTTGCGTCTTCTTTTGCCCAGCCTTCTTAGGCTTTCTGCAGCCCTTAGCCATATGGTTCGTCTTTCCACAGTTGTGGTTCCGGTAAACATTTAGACCTTGGCGGGCTGCTTCCCTTTCCTCTTGCTCGAGTTTCCTTGGTTCACCGAATTAGCACGAGCCTCCATCATCGGGACTTTCCCCGATGAATTACGGTTGTTCTCCTCAATACGAAGACGAACAACTAGGTCTTCAAGACTCATTTCCTTCCTCTTATGTTTGAGGTAGTTCTTGAAGTCTTTCCAACCCTGCGGCAGTTTCTCGATGACAGCCGCAACTTGGAATGACTCACTCAGAATCATTCCTTCAGCATGAATGTCGTTCAAGATGAGTTGGAACTCTTGCACTTGAGACACGACGGTCTTAGTGTCGACCATCTTGAAGTCAAGAAATTTGCCGACGATAAATTTCTTCGGTTTCTTGCCGACGACGAATTTCTTCGCTCCGACATCCTCAATCTTGTACTTCTTCTCCAAAGCAGCCCAAAGCTCTTTGGCAGAAGCAACCGAGCTATACATATCGTACAACTCGTTACTAAGTCTGTTCAGGACATAGTTACGGCAAAGGTAGTCACCTTGCACCCAAGCTTCGTACGCAGTGCGTAGGTCAACATTGGTCTCATTTTCAGCAATGGCTGGGGGATCGTCCTTTAGGTACTTTACCAAACCCAAAGTGGTTTGATAAAAATGCATCTTCTGTTGCCATCTCTTAAAGTCAAGCCCGTTGAATTTTTCGGGCTTTTCAACAGTAGGAACATGGACAACAGGTACGGGATAATGATGAACAATACAGTTAATCAGCTGCTGAGTATTGGAACCATCTTCGGTGGATGCCATTAGTTCAATAGGTGTAAAATATTCGTCTTGCGATTGTTGGATAATAATGGGTGTCGAAAATACACGGGAATCGTAAGAATTGAAGTGTATTTTTCAGTTCTTACAATAAAACTAAAATTAGAAAATTACAATAAAACCAAAAATAAATAACAACTTGAAAAGGCGGAAAGATTTGAGCCGAGGCGATTATACTATTTCCGCAAAAGGAATACACCCCGTGTAGTGCTAACAGTTCAGGCTTATCGTCTCCAAATATACAACGACGATCGTCTCCAAAGGGCTGTATTCTCAGATCTGATTGATGCAAAGAAGATTACAGATCCGGATTCCTCAAAGCCCTCTACTCAGAGGAACCCGCTGCCCGCTCTACCAGAATTCACTACGTTAGACGGATGCCCGGTACTGCTTTTCTCTCTATTTTTCCTCTGAAAATATTTTCTCTCTCTCTCTCTTTCTTTAATTTCTCTTCTCTCTAATTTTTCTTCAGTGTCCTTTCTCCAATGCACTGAGTACATATTTAAAGAGATATAAGGTGCAATTTGCTGTGCAAGTTGGCCAATTTGGAGAGTGGCACATTGCAGGAGGGAAATGGACAGTTCACGAGGCCACGAGGGGAATGGGCAATTCAAGACAAGTGGGAAAAGAAAAATAAAAATAAAAAAAATAATCAAGTGTAACCCACTCACATTTATTTCCTCTCAATTATTGTTACACATCTAAGTACAAAAATAAATAGAAACACACTACATTACATTTGAGATGGGAGTCCACATTACAAGTAACCTAATCCATGGTATGATTTACCCCTAAGTTCTCTCGAGTCACCATACCATACGCAAACACATGAAAAACAAGTTAATTACTTCTGTCACCCAATTCAATTCATGTTATCATAGGATGTCTAATAAAATTTTAAATATTTTCTCATTTTGGGAACAATGCACTTTCAGTCTCATTAAATTTAGATAATTTGTCTTTTGAAACTATCCTTTAATCAAGTCTTCTCAATAGGTACTCAACCTGGACCTGTTTTGTCAAAGGCATGATCCAATCCCCATACAGCTCGGCAACTAAGGCAGGATTTATTCTATACACTGGCTCGGCTTTCTCTCCAACTCCATTCATGGTTACTTCTTGCCCATAAGTCTCGGTTTTCATCTCAACCCTCCTCTTAACTGCCTCTTCCACTGCTGCGTATGTTAACAAATCCATCAGTTGGGCCCCATCCTGCAAAATGTATGCAAAATTAGTGAATTCCTTTTTAACTCTTTTTCGAATGCTTTTAAAGTTAGTTATATATATACGAACTTGAGCTTTGATGGCGACTTCATAGACATTGCGGGAGGCTCGGAATTTCGCTTCAGCCACGAATTTGCCATAATGAATTCTTTTTGACAGGGCCTATATAACTCATGAGTTCAGTAGTTGGTCAGTAAAGAGAAAGGAAAGTACTGAAAGACAACAAAATTTGTTTGTAAGTAACCTGAACCTCAGTGATCAATTTTGCAATTATACTATACACATAAATGCCACAATATTATGGTGTTCAAGATCGTTGGTTTTAATGCAAGATGGTAACATATGCTCTTAATATCAGGAATGTAATGCAACCTATTTTTTAGAAGAACTGTTGAACTTTCAAATACACTGACAGTAATAGGTGACTTACACATGAATTCCTGATTCAATTAAGAAAAGAAAAGAGTATTTTGATTTTACATTAATGTCAATTTTCAAGAAGCAGGCACCTGCAGGCACATTGTATCACAAGTTGCAGCTGAACCATAGTTACCATCATCACCATTTTTAACTAATCTTGGAAGGAGATTCTTGAAGTACATGTTCCATATTTGGATATTAATATTGATTGAATTTGCTGCATGGTGAAGCACCTGTAAGAATTTTGATTGCGCACGCTCAAAATCAAAAATAAAAATGTAAAACCAGCAAAAAATAACAAAAATCTATGAGTTCAAGTCCAAAGGTTGCACAAGCATAATTTAGGAACTGCATCTAAAGCACCCAATTCTCAGTAGGATACAGGCATGAGGAGTGTGTGAATGAGTTTGAGCATATAAAAAATCGATGGGGATGAGTCTTTCTAAAATTTAGACTCCATATTTCTGACTTCAGAAGATTTTGGCAAGAAACCCTTCAGAGTTTTACCTAATGTTAGAACATGCAACAGCTCATTTTAGACATTCATCTTTTTGTTTAGGACTTTTCATAAGCTAATCTTATTTTAGGTATTCGCTGTTATGGTAGAACTTGAAACGGTTATTAACGAGGGTTAGCTACCAAAATCCATGAAATGTAGTCTCATTGCACAAAGAATATAAAGGGATAAACAAAATCTTCCTTTAAAATTTGAGATCTTCATTTTCGGGACTCTTCGACCAATTGCATCCTTGCCACCTAAATGCAAAACTGACGATGTAGTCACAATTTCGACAGATAAAAGGCTTCTGTTGCAATTATACCACATTATTGGGGCACATTTTCCTCTTATCCAATTTAAATTAACATGACTTCATGATAGCCTACTAGGGCATGTAATTGTTAAAGCAACTGTAATATTACTAGTGGATACTCCAATGGCGGCAAAAGTGGATCAGGTAAGTCGTCCGGGAAAAAAGGATGCTCATCCGGGCTCTTGTATCTCCCGACCTTCATAAAAATACTATAAACATAAGTTTTCAAATAAATGGGTAAAAAATATATAAAAGGATAGAAAATGTTTTCAGTCTCAAAGAATGTGCAACATACTTTTGCATGAAGCTTTTCGGTTTCTTTGACCATGTACTCAACCAAAGAGCCACAAAATCCATCCATGTTGAAAAGATTGGGATCATACGTCTCAGCATTATAACAAAACTGAGATCGTTCAACAAGACTGAATATAATGCTATCCTCTTGACGTATCAAAGAATTTCTAATACCCTCAAGTGTGTAGCTTTCAGTCTCGTCTACCCTACTTTTCTGTCCACGCCTGAGAGGAAACAAGATGAGCTTAATAATCAGGGTCATAAACGTGCAAATCCCAATGTTTTTCAATCATTTATTAGGTGAAGCAATATCAAAAGCAAAAGCTGGCATTTGCATAAACATTGATATGTGATTTTTTTTTTTCAGCACTTTTTGCAAATACATTGTAATAGCTTAGCTAATACTATTATGACCATTATCATTAACAACTACCATTACCTTTTTGTTCAAAATGGCACAATGCGCTATATTTGATGCAATTAATGTCATTTTCAGACAATGCACCAATAGCTGGATATAAATGGACTCGTGTTAACACAAATGAAAACCTTTAACTAGTATCAACTGGATCTTAAGTCTACATTAAGGAAGATCTGAAGGAAAGAAATTGAAATCCATCATAAAATTTCTAGTGAACTTCTTTGGATACACTGGATTCTAGATGCTGGATTGTTTTGGACACATTTCAATTCCCATCCCCAATCCTCCAAATCCAATGCATCATAAGATCATAAGATTCCAGGATATAGAACCAAAGAGAAACGCTACAGTAGATTGACACCTACTATTTAAGGGAAACAAATTGGCAAGTCAATTCTTGCACCTAAATTTTACTGCAATCCATAAATCAGTACAAGACAGAATGCCCATCTGACCAGCAACATTTCCCAAGAATGCATTAAACCAAGCATAATCCAGACAAAAAATAAAAAATAAAAAATAACTGAGAAATTATCACATAAAACCATAAAAAAAAAAAATAACTCAAACCCAGGAAGAAAAAAGACAAATAGAAAGCAGAAATCAATAGTGTACCCAACGGCAGAAGCTCGGATTGACAGAATGCCATTGTTGAGTAGACCTCGATCGGGAATACGAAAGGCGGAAACGTGTCTTGAGATCTTGGAACAAAGGGGACTGGAAATGGAAGTGGAGGTGGGCCCCCAAAGCTTCGCCTCCATTGAAAGAGACCAAGAAGAGAGAGAATAACTTGGTCGAAGATCAAAAGGAACACCAAAGACAATAGGTGGGTTTCAGTGCTGGTGGCTGCCGGAAATGGTTGAGTTGCGCCGCCGGGTTTGGTGGGTCGATGATCAATCGATGCAAACTCTTTTATTTTGGCCAATTTACATGTTTCCTATGTGATTAAAAATTTATTGCAAACATACAATTAAGGGAAAAGATTAGCATTCAAATGAAATCCGGATGAAATAATCTATATATATAATAAGAATTATCATTTATCAAATATAGTAACAAAAAAACAGGTCAGAATTTAATGCAGCCTATAAATAGTAAGTTTTATTATTTTTCTTATTTTTTTCTTTAAAAATAATACAACATTAAATGCTACTTTAAATTATGGGCTTTAGTTCATTGTATTGTTTAAAAAATCCGGTTAAGATTTATTAAATGTGTGTGCTTTTATTTTTATTTTTTTCTTAGAAACAACGAACCATATTAAAATATCGGTCTATATTTATAAAATCTCTATTCAAAATATAACAAAAGTTTTAGAATCTCGGTTTTTATATTTGTACTTTTTTAAAAAAATATTAAACGCTAAAAATATTCTTTAAATTACATAATCAATCAATTAATCTTAATTTTTGAAAAATTACTATGTTTATTTTTTATTAATATGCATAAATTAAAAATAATTAATTCATCTTTAGATATATAATTTATAATATTAATATACTATCATTAGGTGTAGACATTTAATATATGAATCATAAAATATTTTTATTTCACAAAATTAAATATATTTAAAGAAAATAAGAAAATTTATTCGGATCAATCAGGTGATTGAATTAGGGTACTGCCCAGGTTGATTGAATTACTTTTAGGTGATATTTAAAATAGTCAAAAAACTTAACACAACTTGGTTGGTCCCATGTGACTAAGTTATGTATCAGTTCGACCAAACAAAATTGATTATTGAACCTAAATATAAATTTTATATTGAAAATATTTTATTACGTGAATGTGAAGTAGTCCAAAATTCAAATAATCGTATTAACAATACTTTTATGACAACATTTTTAATTATTTATGAATATTTAGATATCATTTTATTAATATTCATGTAAATTAAATAATATTTTATTATAATATTTGTTAATGTACAGTAAATATAAAATTTTCAGAACCGGACCGTCATCGGAACGATCAAGCTTTATTAAATCATTTTTGGTTTGTTCAGATTTTAATTTATAAATATTTTAATAGATATATATACATATATATAGTACTTTTTCTAATAAATTTAATAAAATGTGTTACTTAGATATCTATACAATTTATAAATTCAAATATTTCAACTAATTGATAAATAATTTATAAATCTCTATTTTATTTAAATATGTAATTTTATTTAAAATAAATTTAAATATAACAAAATTTATTTAGAAAATCGTATTGATCATACCCGTCCAACCGACTGGTGTTGACGGATTCGAGAGCAAATATTTTATTCAAGCGAACTAGACTGGTTATGAACCAGTTCTCGGTCCATATGGTCGGACTGTGCCCAACCCGGTTTCATTTAAAAACAATGGATAAATCATGATTAATGTTATTTATAATTTAATTTACAATACAATTGTAATATTGTTTTCACGTGCATCGCACGGGCCACGCACTAGTTATGTTTATATGAGAGTTAGGTTAAAGAAGAAATTCTATTCCTTTAATTGCGTAGCTCATGTGAATGACATTCATCATATTTTCATGCATTATGAGTGATATATTGTGATTTTTTGCCATGGTTATCGTGTGATTGTGCACCATTTTGTTTTATGTATTAATCTATGATAGAGATACTTTTTTCGTTGGTTTTGTAGGAAATATGCCCGGAAAAGTGTTGAAAATGGAATCGAGACTAACAACGGCAAAAACGGGGTGCAGAATAGGCCACACGACTCGTGTGGATGGTGACATGGGTCGTGTGGCCTCACACGACTCGTGTGACTCGGTTGTGTGGTGTTCGTGTGAGTCTGGAAGTTTGGCGAAAATTAGAGGAAAGTCACACGACTCGTGTGACATGTGACACGACTCGTGTGACGCGCAGATCAGTTCAGCGGGAAATAGGATTCTTACGAGATTTCTTCCATTTTTCGACCCATAATTGCCCTACAGTATAAAAGAGCCTTGAGGAACTCGTTTTTGGGACTTTAGACACCATTAGAGGCCTAGAGAAAGCACGAAACACACGAGGGATTCGAGGAAGTCAAGATTGAAAATTCGGGAACTAACGGCGACAATAGTTCTTCCTTCTTTTCTCTTTTTCTTCTTCATTGAACTCATGGATTTATTTATTTGAGTTTTGCGAATATGTTTAATTTAGTCCCATATAACATGTATAATTTGAGCAAAATTTATTGAAAAACTGAAACCAAAAACCTTATAATATATATAAATATAGGGTCACGCTCCGGTGAAAATGGTGTTCAGTGAAAGAAATAAGAATACATCGTAACCATTGGATCGAATGATCCATCGACTGAAAAAATACAGTATTTTGTACATTAATAAAGGTAATTCAGACCTTACACGCAATTAATCCACCACATGTGGGCCCAGGTCAACCCCAACCACACCAAACTCTCTCACACACACACCACACCATCTCTCACACACACTTACACGTAGCACACACATCACACACCATTTACGCACCACAAAAGAAATCTGCACTTTCACGTCCTCCCTGCCGGAGCCGCCTCCGCCCGGCCGCCGTCGCCCCGTCACTGCGGCCGACGATAAAAGCATCCCTGCCACAGCCGCCATCATCCCTACCTGCCGGAGCGTCCCCGCCACCGCCGGATTACACTGACAGATTGTGGCCGGAGAATCGCCGCCGCCAGCAAGCAACACAGCGGTCGTCCACTTCAGCACCAGAGAATCCCACATCCATCAAATCTACACCAACGCTCAGCCCGTCGCAGCCCGTCTTCATCGGAGCCCCACCGCCACCCGACAAGATCTGATGCTCTCCGACAAGGCGGCGATTTCATTATCCCGATTTCAGGAAAAATCGGTCGGATGAGCACATCACCGGCGAGAAGCTGAACGTCATGTCGGCCGGGCGATTCACGACGGCAAGGACGATGGCCGAATTGGCCGGAAACAGTGAAACGTGTTTTGAGGGTGGGGACTTTATTTTGAGAATTTGACATTTCACAGGGGTCTAATTGTAAATTTGAGAATTTTTATTTATTTCAATTTAACCCATGGGTCAAATCTGTAATTATGAAAAATATATAAAATAATAATATTTTTATATCTTTTCTTATACATATATAAACTATGTCATTTTTAACCAAAAAAATAATAAAAAAATAAATAGAAATATTAAAATACTAAAATATATTTTTTATAATAATATTATATAATAAAATATTTCACCAAGTTATGTTAATGTGATCAACCAACCGAATAATAAAATTATTTCAATTCATTTTTAGTTTGGATTTGAACATAAAAAAACTCAAACCTATTGCACAATATTACTAATCATTTTGCACATTAATGAATATCATATTGCACTATAACGTTAGACGAAATGCACTTAAATGCGTTCAAAAATAATTTATTTCAAAAATATTATTATTTAATTTTAACAGAAATATTATAAAATATTAAATGAAAAGTCAAAATTATTAAATATCTTTTAGTTACATGAGTTATATAATAAGTGTAAAATAATGTTAATTAAAATACATATTATTAAAGTTTCTTAAAATTGAATGCACATAAAGAAAAAAAAAATACCCATTCAATAGAATGCACAAAAATATTGTACCTGATGCACATTTGTGTTTGTGTGGTTGTACTTTACTGATTTTGTTATTTTATATATTATATATTTTTCAACAATAAATAATATAAAAATAATAAATAAGATTATTAACATATTAAATATAATTCGGTTAACCAAATAAATAAGATTAATTAAAATAGAAAATAAATTATTTCGATTAGTTAAAATAATTCGGTTAACCGAACCGAGTAAACCATTTAATTATGTCCAGTTTCAAAGATTTTGAACAAAAGTTCGATCGTTTCAATCTGCACAATATAGACCGGCACCATGCACCATAGTGTTGGACGAATTGCACATCAATGACTGTTAGGTTGCACATTATATTTCGTTTACATATATATCATTATTCTAATAAAAAAAATACATATAATATTTAAAAAAAATATTAAAGATTAAACAAGTTTGTAGAATAAATAGTATAATTTAGTTTGTTTTGTAGAAATCATTAAAAACACTTGCGATGCGAGTGCACAATATTGTTAAACAAACTGCACATTAACGACAATCGAAATGCACAATATTAAATCTGGACATGAAAATAAAAAATACATTGTTATGTTGGTGTTCGTTTTCACAGATTTCACAGATATTAAAATTTTAGTTATTATTTATATTTTTTTATATATATTATGTATTTTCAGCTAAAAGTGGTATAAAATATTATATAATAATATTAAAATAGTAAATATATTTTTATAATACAAATAATAAATTATTTCGATTATTTCTTTTAATTCAATTATCCGACAGAATAAACCAATTATTTTGGTACAAATTTAGCTTGTTTTGGGACAAAAATTCCGTCGGTTCAATTTTTTGTTTTTTGTTTTTTAAATTCGACTCGGTAGTTTCAATTTTAAATTTCATTTGGCGTTCGCCAAACCGACCAATAAACATTCATAAAATGCATGGTAGCATTTTAGTAAATTTGGATAAATTTATTATTCGATTGTATGTAATTTTGTAAATTATAACGGGATTTTTTAAGGTTATAATGTGCATTTTATGTATTAATATTGTTCATGTATTTAACTTTTAGTAAATTACAGATTTACCTCATGTACTAATTTGTAATATATTGAAATTTAAACTGTATAAGAATATTTTTATTGTTACTATTATTATATTTTTATGCTCTGAAATTGCACAATTACGTTAACGAAATGCACTTTAATGACTAATTGATTGCACAATATGGACCAAACTCAACGAAGTTAAAATTTCCAGTAGATGTTTGATGTGCATTTAGTATTTTTTTATATGGTTTTCAGATTTACTATGGACTAAATTATAAAGACATATTAAATTTTTAAAAATTGCACAAAGGCCCCTATACAATGTGTAATTCACAAAAATCCAACCTAAATGTCCCCCCAATACACAGCCAGATCCGGTCGTCTGAACCGTTGTCGAGCCGCCGCCTGCCTTCTCAGCACAACACCACCCGTGACGACGGCAACCACCAGCAGCCGCCGGTCATGACCCGTCGGACTATGGCCGAATAGGCCCCAAATTAGAATCCCTAAAAAATCCCCCAATCCCCGCCGCCCGGAGTCCACATCAGCCCGCCCCCACCGCCGCCAGCCTTCTAGGACCACATCGCCACCGCCGATGACAACAACGGCAGACGACAACAGCCGCGACAACGACACCAAGTCAGCCCGGTTGATTGCCGTCACCTTCTCCATCTCTCACCGGACTGGTGTCGCCGTGGCGGAGGACTTGTGTCGGCGGTGGTGGATTTAATTGTTGGGGGCTCGAGCAGACTCCGACGCCGGCGGAGGGTATAGATGCATCTGTGATAACGGCGGATCTACACAGATGATGGTTGGTTTCTGCCGGAGCATCCTTGGTCGCGTCCGTCTCCGGCGATGGGCTGTGAAGGCGTTGCGGCGGTTTGCAGAATCGCGGCGGCGGTGCTCTGCCGCTGAGGAGGCGACGGTCGGCTTCTGCGTGTGTGAGTGGAGAATTGTGTGTGTGTATGTGTGTGAAGAAGGTGAATCACGGATGTGTAAGGTGGTGGGTCCCATGGTGTGTTTGATTCAATTGTCTAAATTACCCTTAATTAGTGGTAAAATCTATATATTTGACCATCATAAATCTTCTTATTTACCAAATTGCCATTAATGATTGACCATTAATTATTAAAATTTGACTTGATCACTATCATTGATATGATATATCTAATGGTTCAGATTCATTCTTATTTCTTTCACTATCTACCATTCTCACTGGATCCTAACTCTATATATATATATAGAGAGAGTTAGGATCACATGAGAATGGTAGATAGTGAAAGAAATAAGAACTAATCTAGATCATTGGATACATCATATAAATGGTCATGATCAAGTCAACCTTTAATAAATAATGGTTAATCATTAATGGCAATGTGGTAAATAATTAGACATATGATGGTCAAATGTATAGATTTTACCACTAATTAAGGGTAATTTAGACAATTGAATCAAACACACCATGGGACCCACCACCTCACATATTAACCCACCCCTCCATCTACCCCGTCAATCACCTTCTTCACACACACACACACACACAATTCTTCACACACACACACGCACAATTCTTCACACACACACACACAGATCCGACCAGTCGTCTCCTCAGAGGTGGAGCTCCGCCGCCGCGTTGCTGCAATCCGCCGCATCGCATCTGCAGTCCATCGCCGGAGACGGATGCGAGGATGCTCCGGCGAAAACCAACCATCGTCTGTGTAGGTCCGCCGCCCGTCGCAGATGCAGCCATACCGTTCGCCGCCGACGGAGTCAGCTCGTGCCCCTAACAATTAAATCCACCATCGCCGACACAGTCCTCCGCCACGACCAACACCAGTCGGTGAAGATGGAGACGGTGACGGCAATAACGGACCGATTGTTGTATTTTTCGTTGCGGCTGTTGTTGTCTGGTGTTGTTGACCTCGAGGGCGGCGATGTGGTTTTAGAAGTGCTGGCGGCGGAGGGGGTGGCGTAACGGGTACTCCGGCGGACATGGAGTTGACAATGGTGAGAATTGGGGGATTTTTAGAGTTTGTCATTTGGGGATTATTCTGCTCTTGTCCGGCGGGTCATGAACGGCCGCTGGTGGTGGTTGCCCTCGTCGTGGATGGTGTCGGGATGACAAGCTGGCGGCGGCAGGGGGTGGCGAGACGGTGGTCCGACGATTGGGAATCTGGCAGTGTGCTTGAGGGATTTGTTGGGTTTGCTTTTGTAAATTAGACAATGCATAAGGGCCTTTGTGCAATTTTTAAAAATTTAATATATGTTTATAATATTGTCCACATTAAATCTGAAAATCATTTAAAAAAAACAATAAATGCACAATAATGGTACATAGAATGCACATTAATGTGTTCCCATGTGCACATTAAAAATGTCTACTGAAAATTTTAGTTTGGTTGAGTTTGGTCTATATTGTGCAATCAATTAGTCATTAAAGTGCATTCCATTTAACGTAATTGTGCAATCGCAAAACATAAAAATACAATAATAATAGCAATAATAATATTTTTATATAGCTCGTTCGTTTAGTTATTTCGGTTAAAAAAAAAAACTGACATCAAACCAATATAATCGAATTTTTTTAATGTAAAGAAAGTATATCAAACCGAAATATAAAATTCGAAGAAAATTTATATTTCGATATCGTGCAATCACCAAAATATAACATTATTAAACCGAAAAAAAATTATTTCGATCGAGTTTGGTTGATGTTGTTCAATTAGGTAATCATTAAAGTTCATTTTGTCAAATGTTATTGTGCAATCGCAATGCAACAAATATAATAACAGTAAAAATAATAATATCTTTATATATTTCGGTTTTGGTTATTTTGGTCAATGTGCAATCAAATATTCATTAAACCGATCAAATTTTTTTTATTATTATTATTCTTTTTTTGTCCCAAATCAAATTGAAATCGAATCGAATTACTTTGTTTATTTAGTCAGTTGGCCGAATTATTTAGATAATCAAAATAATTTATTATTTATATTATAAAAATATATTTAGTATTTTAACAGTTTATAATATTCTTGTATTATTTTTTGTTGAAAAAATAATATATTAACCGATAATGTGCATCCATACTTACGTTAATGTGTATTTAGTTTACTATCATTGTGCAGTATGTAATCCGTTTTTGTTTTCTGTTTCTTTTTTTTTTTTCATTTTTTCGATTTTAGACAATTTAATATTTCATATTTCAATTATCCTTGTCGTGCAATATGGCAGTCAATAATGTGCACCTTGTTTAACACTATGGTGCATCGCGTAGAGTGTGTTTTTTATATGCATAATATAAATTAAAACCGAAACAAAATAATCATTTCGATTGGTTAACCGTACTAACATAAATAGTCGAAATAACTTATTATTTAATTTATAAAAAAAAAATAATATTTAAATATTTTTCCATGAATATGCATTTATTAAAAAATCTGCTATAAATTATATATTTTTAATATTTTTATCTAGTATTTTATATATATTTTTTGTTGAATAATGGATACCATGTATAGATTTGTGTATAAAAATTATACAACAAAAAAATCATGTCTTTTGTATAAATTTCCATAAATTTCATATTAGGCCCAGGACTAAATCGAAATATAATGAAAATCTTGAAATTGCAAGTTGACCCTTTGAGAATGTCAAATTCTCACCCAACAAACCCCACAAATCAAATTAAATGTTCATCTCCGGTCGCTTGAAATCTGGAGTGATGAGGCGGCAGGAAACGGCGCTATAGACGGCGGTAGGCGGCGGCGCTGGTGGATGGCGATGAAGAGCCGGTCGATCTGTTCGGATCTAGTGAAGCCATGTCTGTTCGGGTGTTACAGTGGCGGAATGCAGCGGCGAGCTCCGGCTAGCGGCAGCAATCGGCAGCTGATGAGTCGGCGTCTGTGTGCGTATTGTATTTGTTGTGCGATGCTGTATGAAGAAAAGCATTCGACGGCGCGGCGGCGGAAAATCCGTTTGTGTGCTCGTGGATGACATATCTAGTGGTTCTGGTGATGGCGGATGCTCGGCGTTCGTGGCAGAGCAGTGGTCGCCGGCGGGAAGAGCGACGAGTGGTCGCCGACGAGGAAGGGCGGAAGCTGTGGCAGGTCACATGTGGTGTGCTCAGTGTGTGTATGTGTGTGCGTGTGTTGTGTGTGTGTGTGTGCGTGTGCTGTGTGTGTGTGCGTGTGATGTGTGTGTGTAGGTGATAAGGAGGGTGGTGACGTGGAAGGTGATATGGTAGTAGTTTACTTGGACGTTTAGTGTTAATGTCCATAATACCCTTAATGAAGGTATAATTTTGACTTTTTTATTAGCCATTAGATCATCCGATCTAATGGCTACGATCTATATATATATATATATATATATATATATCCATTAAATTTCCATTTTCACCTAATTTTAATTTTGAAATAAAAAAATGCAGGTGGTGAGGGATAAAAAATGGAGAGAAATAAGCGCGGTGTTTGATTTTTGCCGGACGACAAGAAGCGCTTCGTACGCTTTAAGGAAACACTATTCCACTCTTCTCCAGCACTATGAACTCGTTTACTTCTTCAAGCTGCTTGCTCCAACAGGTACTGTACACCTCACCATTTGCTTCTCTTTTTGTTTTTTATTTTATTTTATTTATTTATTTATAAGTGAACCAACAAAAATAAAATTGTACGATACATAAGTCCATTTTGGGTGTCTCTATGGTGGATCCATAGATGGTAAAAATTGCAATCTCGGTGTAGAAATATTTTGTGCAGGGTATTATCCAGAGTGGAAAATCTTGGACCAATTTAAGTGTTATAATTGCATTAATTGAAGTTCTAAGTTGATAATTATTTAATGAAACAGGAACCACATATTAGGGAAATGCTACATTGCCAACCTAGTGTACAACTAGGTTAACATTACAAGTGAAGACATCAACCTTGTGTATTTTTTTATTTTTATTTTGTCAGACATTTTCACTTGTATTGTCAACCTAGTTGTACACTAGGTTGACAATGTATCATTTTCCTTTAATTTTCTTCTGCCACAAACGTATTGTTTTCAACTTAGATTTTAATTTAAGTTAGCTGATTATTTAGATTTATGAGAACAAGTGGTTTTAGAAATAGACCTTTTGGTGATGACATTTTCATTTTCCCCTGATGAGATGTCTTGGTTTGCAAAAAGATCTTTTTAATAGTAAAGTACGCCTGTTTGTAGTTTATCACACAGAACATGCCCTTGAATTTCAAATCTTGATTCGTAAACTGTAAGATGAAGTATTTGACAAAATAATATCTAGTTTAGAATACACAAAATGAAAACCTAGTTAACAACTCTTATCATATGCTATAACTCTTGCATTGTTACAATATGTTGTAACCTGGAAAATTTATCATATCAAAAGATGACAATGAGACACAAAAGGCAAGTTTTTTTACCTAAAAAACAAAATTATAAGTTAACTAGACAAAAACAAAACAAAAAAAAAAAGTTGTAGAAATCAATCAAAAACACGTATTCTCTGAATACGTTTTTTCATATAATACGTTTTTCGTTGAAAAACGTATGTTGAAAATACATTTTTCAATGAAATTTATAAAGAAAACGTATTCTGAGAATACTAGTTTTTAATTTTGGTCCAAATTTTTTTTTTTTCTTTTACTTGTGTCCACTTGTTTTTTTGTTTTTTTGTTTTCATATAAATTACCCCCACAAAAGGCAACATTCTCAAAAGGAACAACACCATGTATGTAGGAATTGATCATTTAAAGGCGGAAAAGCTTTAAGACATGGGCACCTGTTAATAGTTAATATTAATTGCCAGAATTTCTTGATCACGATTTCCTGTTTAGTCCATGAAAGAAACGATGTTTTCTGCTCTTAGTGTGCTTTCGGGAAGCTCTTGAGACAACATATGGAACAAACTGTACCTGCAGAGGATCGAAAAAGTTTTATTCGCACAGTATAACTTGAAGACCTTACGAAATTGTATTACTATAATTGATGGTCAAATTTAAGATCAACTAGAGTATTGTTGCTATATCAGTTCAAAATTTTAGCTTTAGCGTCATTAGTCATGTAAGAAGAATCTACAGAAAAGCCACAGCAGAAAGCTTATAATTTTCTCGGAGAAAATGTAAAACCAAAAATCCCAAAATAACATACATGAGAATTGTTCCTCAGTCCGTAATCATGAAGTGAAGCATTGTCATCGAGTAGCTTCTCATTGTGGCATGAAAGGCAGAAGTTTGCCCACACATGCTTCCTGCAAGATCAAAAAAGGCATTTTTCTCAGTTTTTTTAGAAAAATCTATTATAGATTGGCATAATTCCATTTTTTTTTTCCCATTGTAGTTGTATCTACATTCCAAAATCCTTTTTTTTTTTTTTTCTCTTCACATTCGACAAGGGGGAAAAACAACAACATTACACAACAATTACAAGACTGAACTGCAGAATATGTCTCAATGAAAACCAAAATGCACATTCAGAACAATACCAAGATATATGCCGATGACCCTTGCTCGACTCCTCTGCATCGTTAACCTTCTTATTAATCACCAATTTCAAGTCCTTCACGGTTGCAGAATTCATCACCACGACCTCTACACCCCTCACAAGATTAAATAAAAATCAAAACCAGTATCTCTATATTTGGCGCTCACAAGGTGTTTGTGAAAATGAAAAACAGAAAAAAAATATATATGAAGTAATGTGTACCAAAAGATGTGGTGTCCAATTTGAGGACTGTAACGCGCATGGCGCTGCCAAGCTCCAAGCTGATGAGAGTGTCCACATCGGAAAAAGAAGACTTCTTGGGAACATCGGAAAGAATCGGATCGCCGAGAAGCGCCGTCAGAGTTGATTCTAATCTAGCTTTCTTTATGCTGTTGTTGTACTCCGACGCGGCGGTGCTGGTTCCGGCCTCCTCTGTTACTGCTTTATTACTCTGCGTATATTCATCCATCTCTTATTCAAATTCTGAGGAATTATTTCCGTTTAGTTTTGCCGAATTGTGCCTTTTGTACCCGTTGGTGTGCGAGTTGAAACACTCGGCTTCAGTACCTTCGTTAAATTCCACATTAGAATCACTAAACAGAAGAGTAAAAAAAAGTAAAAAAAAAAAATCAAATCAAATCAAATCATTTCTGGTACCCCATTAATTTTCGCTTTTCATAAGGGATCAATATTATTAATTTGTAGGTCTTGTGTCCGATATACGATTTTATAAGAGTGCGCTCTTCGAAGGAAAAAAAAGGCTAAAGGACACTTACACTTCTTTCAAAAACAGTTACCACAAAGACGAGCTTCTTTAAACAATTCCAGTTTTGAAGTCAAATCCCTTTTCTAATTAAAATCGACGCTCTTTTGCTTCTTTCAACTTTTCTTTTTCTTTCTCTTCAGTCATCTTTTCTTAGTTTATTTTTAATTTATATTAGGTTTACTAGGCAGCCTTCGGCTGTGCACAGCCGGCCCACTGTAATCGTATAGCATTTTACCAGTTATCAGTGTTATGTAAATGTCATATAAATGAGTGTATAAATTATTTTTTTATAAAATTCATGTACTAAAAAAAATTTGATCAAAGCAATCATGTATCTATTAAATAATAACATTCGAATAACTTTAGGCGGTAATCTAAAAGAATTTAGTACAATAACATGGTAAACATACTGTATCATTGCATGATGTTACCCATAAATATTATTCATGTTGGAGCCATACATATAGATTATGCTAATACAAAAAGGTCCTATATCATAAGTTCATAACAAAATCCAATAACATGCACAAGGAACATAAAACTAAGTCTTTGCTTTCACAAGGAATTGAAGTTGAAATTACATTCCTACAATAATCTTCAAGAATTTTTTAAGTACAATTCATATTAATAGAGAGAGTTGAAAAATAGAATACCAACAGAAAATATTTAATTGAACAGTAGTAGAGTTCCACCCCCACAATTCCCATATATAACGTTGATTCAGTCATCAAAACAAACACAGAAGTAACAAAAATACCTCACTCAAAACATTCAACCAAATATTTGAAATACAATGGATTAAACATTACTTCATAGTTCAAGTCTTCAAGTCTTGATCTCCTAGTACTCACTTCTGGTTCTATGAAAATAAAATATTTTCAACAAATATGATAATATCCTTAGTTTATTTTCAACAAATCAGAACTAAAAATTTAAATGAACGTGCAAAAATGACGAAGAATGCATACACGTAACCACCACATGAATGAATAGAGAACAGAGAGGAGACCTCATGAGAATATTGCAATTAGTTATCTATGAATGAAGTAGAAAATGGTTATATAATGGTTTGATATACCCAAAGATGGCCTTATCGCATTTTCCAGCTAACTACTATCAAAACCTAACTACTAAAAAAAAGTGAAATCATCTCTAAAAATTTTGCTCATCATAGCCAAACTCGCTCTTCATACTCTTACCAAAATGATTGTTGTCACGGTGGATAAAAGTTGTATATTTTGTGTCTCAATAGCTTCATAGTAGAATAAAATAGCACCAAGCGAAAACCAACAAAAATTCAATTAGATGCAATAGAAAAATAAATGAAAAAACTTGACAAAAAAAGTAGCAAAGATAAATGGACTCACAATCAAATATGTAACTTAACTGAAAGAAATTAAACATAACTGAAAGAAAGCCCCAACTCTTATTAATAAAATTGAAATCAAACTTTGAAAATCTATGTGTCCCTTCAGACCGCCAAACTTCTCAGAACACTCTACAGCATTCACAAAAAACAGAGAAAGAGTAATCAATAATGAAAATGAAGGAAATGGCAAAAACTATTAGAACCAAATGGCTGCATAAACATTGGTGGGGGAAAAGAAAACAAAAAAAAAAAGAAACAAAGAGGTACCTTCACATAAATAATCGGATCATAGTATCCCACGTGTGCTCGCAAATGATACACACAACCCCTCAACATCTAAAAACATTTTTTCACCTCTGCTATTGCTTCTTGCGTACTCATCCAAAGTTTTATCCCACATACACTCTGCAATATGCTAACAATCATTGGATTTCAATAACAATAAATAAAAGAAATAAATAATCATATTAATTATTTTTTAATGAAAATAGATTGTAAATTGAAAATATAGAATTGCACAACGAAAGATTTATCTCAAAGTACATAAATGTAAATAATCAGTCACTACTACAAATAAATTGCGTAAAGTTGTAACAAACTTACAGAAGCTAAATGACACTCGACAACCCTGGTGTTGTAGTTAGTTGCAACAGTAACTTCATTTTGAGACTCAGCCAATGAGTATGCAATAACAAATGAGCCGCCTGCAAAAAGCCAAAATGGTTTGACTGTGGACAGTAAAGGATTTGGAAATACCTTTTTTTCACAAAATTTAAAATTTGAAATAACTATTCAGCTAATAAAGAATTTATTTTTCCATTGTTACATGCAACAATTATGAAAACATGAAAACAGACTCATCAACAGACAGACGGGAAAACTTATATTGTTCAGGTAAGCTTGACTGAGGACAAAATGGATTAAATCCAAAAAAAAATTTAAAAANTTAAATCCAAAAAAAATTAAAAAAAAAATCACTTCCTACTTTGTAAGATCATATGTCATGATCGATTTCTCTCACCAAAGCTAAACATTTTAAATTCCAAAAGCAAGCCACATCCACTTTATCTCCTGAACAACAAATGAGCAAAATCCTTATATAACTTATATATAACAGCACAAGTTTCTAAAAAGATTGATAATAATATATATGAATAGACCCAAATTAATAGCTAATTTCTGCTCTACCAGGAAACTTTTACTTCAGAAGGGAACAAACTATTTCATAATGTATCTTGATGCAATGTGATGGCATTTTGGAGTTAATGTCAGGAATAGCCATTCATTTAAACAAGTCCAATTGCATGAAATTCAACTACTTCAACATCATTATAAGACAAAACAAGAACCAAGGCAAGTACATCGAATTTTTCCACTAAAAAAGGATCAAACTTCATTCTAAAAAATGATTAAGAGACTTAAAATTTTGAGTACTGAAAGTCCATCAAAATCGAGGTCATTATCAGAGACATTCTTCTCACAAAACACATCAAAAAATACAAATATAAAAGACAGAGGATAAAAGGTAAACTAAATTTTTCAACTCATTTGCATATTTGGTTTCAACGATCACAATAAGACGTGCCTTGAATACAAACTATTCGATGATAAATCACTCTTTTCAGCGTAGAACCACATATATGAAACTCAACTTTAGCTATTCATCCACTTACATCAGCTAAAAATAGCCAAAATTTGTCATTTCCCAAATTCCACCAATCAAGCTTTCAATAGAAAATTCCAAAAAAACCAGTAAAAATTTAAAAAAAAAAAAAGAAAAAGAAAGAAAAACATATATAACATAAAATCAATGACAAATTACCGTAGAAACGTGGGCAGTCCCGACAAAATAAATATCACAGACGGAATATGTTCTAATCTCATTTGAGGATATTCCAAATTAATATCTAGCTTATAAACAAAACACAATCAATCAACACAAGATCAATCAACGTAAAATGATGCTTCTGATTCTTATGTTTAATTGGTGCTTAAATTAAATCCAAATAGAAAATGTATAAAATCTAAATTAATAGATATTGTAAAATTAAAATTATGAACTTTTATAATGGTGATGATTTATAATATCCCTTAATGATAGGGGAAAAATATGTTGAAGATGAATCTTTTGAACTGCATATTAAAAGGAGTTTATGCTCAGCACACAAATAATCATCCATTACCAAATACAACCAGTTTAAAATTTCAAAGGCCAATGTAGTAGAATGATAATTGAACAACTTGAGAAAATTCACGAACACAAACAGGTTTTCAGCTTCAAAGAGAAATATATAGTTATACATAATCAGGACATCAGGTGTATACCGGAACGTATATGTTGTACTTAGTTAGGTTCTCATGTAACCAATACAAAGAAACTGAGGTAATGGAATGTTTTTGTTTGTATAGAATCAGATTTATCACTTTTACAGATGCATTGAGATCAAGAATAAACATGAACTTACAGATTAGCACATGAAATTATTTCAAAGAAAAAAAAAAAATCAAACCAGAAAAGAGAGGATTTGTCACTTTTACAAATAAATTTAGCTCAAGAATAAACATGACAAGCTTACAGATTAGCGCATGAAATTTTTTCCATGAAAAAATTTCAAACCAGAAACAGGGTAGAATCAGATTCATCACTTTTACAGATGAATTTAGCTGAAGAAAAACATGACAAAAGCTAAAGGATAAAAAGGAACATCAGATCCATCCAAAACTTAATTTACAGAATTAGAAAAGAAAAAAGCGAGAAAATTAACAACACGGACCAGATGAAGAAAAATTGAAGCTCAAACATCAAGGAAATCCCAAAAAAATCAGCAGTAAACACACTCACACAAAATTACATATGGTATTGAATTGCAGAGAGGGAAAAAAATTACCAGAAATTCAAGCGATGCAGTAAACAAGGGCGAAGATCATGCCACCAAAAGCACAAACAACCCCCTGAATCCCGACCATCGAGCATTTGCTGTCGGACCTCGAGAGCCCCATCATCGTCAATATCGTAATGTATAGGAACATGAAAATTGCTATGATCTCGGCTATGCCGGCCCTCCAGAAGAACCAAGTATGGAGCTCACCGGGCTCGAACAGGGGCGTCGAGGGCGCCTCCTTGTAGTCCTTGCTCTGGACGGAGGTTCCCAGCGACTGCTGGTCAGACAAAACTGGTAAATGAGAAAGAATTTCAGACTCACTTTGTTCTTGGCCGTCTTTTCTCTCTCTCGTGGTTAATCAAGGTTGTATGATGCGATGGTAGGAGCGGTGTCGAGGAGATAGAAAGACTGGTACGGTGATTAGGGTCTTGGAAAACTGAAACCGAGAAGAGAAATGAGTTGGAGAACAGGGTAAGCAAAACGACGTCAATTTTATGACAATAACAACGTTTATAAAACCTGAAGTGAAAAACTGGTCACGCGTCACTCATTAAGGGCAATACCTTCCTTTTTATATATATCGCACAACCCGGCCCATAACACCAAAGTATTTATGTTTGAAGGTGATACTCTCATATTTTAATCAAGTGGATCAAAAATTGCTTTAAATGATTATTGAAAAAAAATTTATACTCTCAAGCGCACCTAAAAACATTGATAAAATGAACAAATTATATGGCAAAAAGTTGAACCCACGTATGACTATTAAACCACAATTTTTAGTTTCCAAAATTAAATTGATCAAACATTGTTTATGTGATGACCAATTTGTCGTAAAACCCACCATGCTTATTAATTGGTTTAAAAACTATTTGTTTTACTTGTGTAATTAGTTTGACCACAAGGGGCCGCCATTTATCTCAAATTTCAGCATATATTGGTTCCCGACCTATTTTGTTGTGGATATTTTTTTTTATGAGATATATGCCCAATGACGTCAGAAATTTGTAATAACATCTCATCATTGAGAAACAATCTTACAACAATTTTCTCCTAAAGTCGATACGTTTTGGAGATGAAATTAAGGTGGGTGTTTTTTAATAATAAACACATTTAGGTTTTTTTATAATAAATGGACTTAAATGGTGTAGGTGAGAAGATGTGCCACCAAAATTTTTTTTCATCTTTTTTTAGCGGTGGGCGTCGCCCTGCATATATGGTCTAAAAAAATATTGGTTGGATCATTTTTTTCCAATTCAAATGGGTATACTCATTTTTTGTGAAAATTTCTATATCCTATCACGCCCTATAATTTTATAGTCATAAGGCAAAAAATAAAAATAAAAAGTCTAAGAGTAACGCTACTCTACGACAGGACTTGGAATTTGTCAAGAGAAAAAGCCGTCTTCTTCGATCCCCTTTCTCCCAACCCTAACCGCCGCTCGTTCTCCTTCAATTCCGAGTCGATTGGCCTTCCTCAGCAGCAATTAAGCTCGAAGCGGTGGTCATCCCTGGCCGCCTGGCCTTCGCCCGGTTTCTCGCGCCTCTCTCTTTGCTCGCTCAGGTCAGCCTTTATCTCTTAAGATTGGGTCGGTTTTCTTTGGCCGATCTGCGGGCTCTTCTCTTCGGTTTCCTAGTGAGTGGTGACGGGAGGTGGGTTTCGAATCCCCGCCGAGTTCTCTGTTTTCTTCCCTTTTCCTCTGTTGGTGGGCCTGGGGAGGACCATCGTTCTGCCCTCCGGCCAGTGGTGATGGCAGAGGCGGGGCGGTGGTGGGCGGAGGATTGCGGCGAATTTGGTCGGGTGGATGGTGCCTCGGTTGTTCGACGGCGATGGTGTCGGACGGCCGAAGCTCCGCTGTGCTTCCATACTTTTTCCCCGTTCCTTTGATGTTGGGTCTGGGGTTGACCATTGCTCTGACCTCCGGCCAGTGGTGATGGCAGAGGTGGGGCAGTGGTGGGTGGTGGTGTGCAGTGGTTTCGGGTGGTTGGTGATGTGGTTGCGGCCTCGGCATCTTTGTGGTTCGGGGGTTTACCGGGTTTGGTTGGACTCGCTAGTGGTGTTAGTGGGCTCGATCACGTGGTTGTCCTGAAGCATTTTTGATGTTGAGGTTGTGGCTCGAGTTTGATTTCGGATGTTGACCTGGGGCTTGGGTTTTGACTTCGTTAGGCCACCATGTTGGTGTTTGGGCAGTTTCGGGTCGGCTCTCTTTGGCTGTGGGACTCTCTCTGGATTGACTCGGTATCCATCGGCTCAGCTTGGTTTCGTTGCTTAGGAAGGGCTTATTTAGTATGCTTAGTGTTTGTTTGTTGTTTTCTGTGATTTTTGTTCGTTAGTTGGTCTGTGTGTTTGTTTGTCTTTGTTTGGATATGAATACAGGCTAGGCATTGTGCAGTGGCTCTGTTATTTATGTTCCTTTATTTTCGGTTGTGGAGTTCTCTAGGCCGCTATGTGCGTGTCCTCTCAGTTTTCTCTTCCTGTTCTTTTATTAGGCGTGTTTTTGGTTTGGGCCGTTGGCCCCTGTCTCATTACCCTGTTGGGGTCTTAGATTACCCCGTTGGGGTCTTGTAATTTATTCTCTTTGCACTTTTGTGCTTTTTATAGTACATCTATCGTTCCGG